ATCTTTTCTCTTCTCCTCTCATCTCTCTCACGACACCCACACAAAACACCACACACAACACATACACAAGCACAGATGTTACCACACTCTCCTATTTTGTTTCGAAGGTTGGTCCTGGCCCAGTCCCAGCCCATTGATTCACAGTCCAGATGACAAACCATTCTTTTCAAAAAGAGAAGGGTGTGTGATCGGGTCAGGGAGAAAAAAAAACCATGTCACCTATTATAGCAGTGTATAACAGATAGAACTAAAAAAAGTTTGGGTTTTTTTTTTTTTGGGGGGGTGTGTGTGTCCCAAACAAAGCATTCCCAGGCCCTCGGTTGGCGTAGGCTTGATAATACCAGATTATGTGTGGTGTAGATCTGTTAAAGACTGGTGGTCAGACAAAGGCACCACTGGAGGTGATGACCCCCGTCGCACAATGTCGTTGCCACGGCAACTGAAGGCCAGGACATCCAACCATGGGGTCTGTCGGGTCTCGGGGCCTGGTGTCGCCAGTGTGGATGCAGTGGTGGGAATGCCAGTTCCTTCCTCCTCCTCATCCCCCTCTGTTTCTTCATAACCACGCACACACATTCACACAGAAACAGAGCTGGAAGGCTTGCAGTTTGCGTTAGATGTACCCCACAATGCTTTGTCTCTCCAGGACCAAACATTTGCGCTTTTTTAAGAAAGACAGGAGTTCCTGGTTTGCTTTTCCAGACAGAGAACATGGAAAGAAGCAGCAGAATGCAGGCAAGAAGTTAGGACACCATTTTTGGACACCAAGTTCAGAGTACTACATGAGGTGGCTATAAAATCCTGTTAACTGGTTTCTGTGTTTTTCTTGTTTGGTTTTGGTTAATAGTGCACCTGTCGATGCTTTAAGTTTCTCCAAAAAATTCTGGTGGAGCCGCCGTCTGAGGAAACGTAAGAAGCAGCTGAAGAGGAAGGAGCTGATGAGCGGACACCCTGCAAGAGCCACGACCTCGGTAAACACGGAGATATCCTGAAGAGGTATGCCTCACACACAAACAACACACACAATTAAATTCAGTTGGAATAATGAAACTCTTATTACAAGCAGTTTAACAAATAGTTAGATTTTAGTGTCTAGGCTCCGACCTCAATCATTCCCCGCAAGATATGGTTTACAATATGAGATATGGGACTGATGAGAAAAACCTTAAACCCCTAGCGGAGACCTACAGTGCAATCTGGTGGTATGTGACTTACAGAGCAGCTGCAGCATACAGAATACGCAATGAGGTTGGTGGAGAGGAGAAAGTCGGAGACACAAGGAGATAGAGGGGGGAGGGCGAGGATGGGACCCAAGAAGTGAAAGCCGGGCGGGCGGAGGTCGTGGGCACGGCGACGGGTGTGCAGCCGGAGGAACCGCACGCAGCAGTCAGCGGAGAACGGGCTTTGACATTTTACCAGTCTATGTTACTTTACAGTGGGCAGACTTTCAACATAGGGCGGACCTGACAGGGAGGTGCGACTCAGATTTCAGTTCCAGGGTGAACAGGCACGTTGTCTTCGCTACTGGAGACGGCCATTTGGCACAGCTCATCAGACCCGCGGTCTGCTCGTGGTGGTGAACATGCAGCACAAAACACGAGCGGAGGTCTGTCGAGAAGGTATGGTTTTATCGAGAACATAGGAAAAACACCTGAGGTTGTTTAATTCTTTTCAGTTCTTTTTCCACTTGTTTTGTGTTTGATGAGTACAAACTATGAGATGATGTAAAGTTGAGGCAGAGTTTCTCAGTAACCATAACATGTGGTACAGGTGATTTCTAGATGCGTTATACTTCTTGGACATTTTATTTTAATAAAGATTTACTTGCATTATTTGGCCTTTCTTCTTAGCTACCAAACCTTGTTTTTAGTCTATAAATGTCAGGGAAAATGGTAAATCATACGCTTCAATTTCCAGGACATGATGACTGTTTTTAAAATTTACTTATTTTGCTTTGATCACCCCCCCCCCCCCCCCCCCCAACCAAAGCCCCCCCCTTCCAAAACCTTAAATTATTCATTTACAACGAGAAAAAAACCCAGCAGCAAATCTCACTCGTAGAAGCTGGAACCAGGAGAATTTTTTGGAGTTTCTGTCTCATAATCACTTGAACAATAAATCGTTATAAAGTTGGTGGCATCAATTTTATGGCCATTGAATAAAGATTTACTAATCAGTTTCAGCAGTATTTTACAAAAGGTTTTGTTTCTAAACGGGTGTGTTTGGGGGCATCCTCTTAATCTCTTAACAACTGAGTACACACGAAGATTCTAATCAAAAAAATCATTGCAATCATATGTACAAAACTAATGATAGCATTGTGAGATTAAACTGCATGAACTGTGTTTGAGCCTGCGTGTGTTACACAGTAACAGCTCAAAGAGAAATCAAAAACATCAATAAGTGATACCTGCAGTTTGCATCTTTCATTTCTAACATTTTAGCAGACGCTCTGGTGGAGGTGTTTACAGTTTAATGGATAATTAATTATATTATTGTTTGTGTGACTGTACTCCTAACTGGCTTTAGTTTGGGCAGGCTACATATAAGAGTCTGTCGTTAGCGCTGGAAAGTTATAGACACACTGCTTTTGCGTCTTTTGACTCTGTTGCAGTCTTTTTTGTGATACGGCTGATATGTTGTATTTTTGTCTCCACACACACATACACATACACATGTATACACACTCTCCTATTTTGTTTTGAAGTGGTCCTGGCCCAGTGCCCAGCCCTTGATTCACAGTCCAGTGGGACAAACCATTCTTTCAAAAAGAGAAGGGGTGGGACGTGTCAGGGAGAAGAAAAACAACATGTCACCTATATAGCAGTGTAATAACAGTAACTAGTGTGTGTGTGTGTCCCAAAACAAAAGCATTCCCAGCCCATCGTTGGCGTAGCTCTTGATATACAGTATGTGTGTGTGTCTGTATAAAGACGTGTCAGACAAAGCACCACTGAGTGATGACCCCCGTCGCACAATGTCGTTGCCACGGCAACAAGGCCAGGACTCCAACATGGGTCTGGGTCTCGGGCCCCTGGTGTCGCCAGTGTGGATGCCAGTGTGGGAATGCCCAAGCTGTCCTTCCTCCCTCCTCATCCCCCCTCTGTCTTCTCATAACACGCACACACATTCACACAGAAACAGAGCTGAGAAGGCTGCAGTTTGACTAGATGTACCCACAATGCCTTTTCTCTCAGGACCAACATTTCAAGCAGCTTTTTTAAGGAAAGACAGGAGTCTGGTTTGCTTTTCCAGACAGCAGAACAATGGAAAGAAGCAGCAGAATTGCAGCAGACAGTAGACACCATTTTGACACCAACGTCAGAAGCTACTACATGATGGTCTAAACTCATGTTACTGTTTTCTGTGTTTGTTTTGTTTGGTTTTTGGGTCTAACTGTACACCTGTGATGCCCTTTAAGTTCTCCAAAGACAAATTCTGGTTGGAGCCGCCGTCTGAGAAACTGAAGAAGCAGCTGGAGGAGGAGCTGAAGCTGAGCGGCACCAACCTGAAGAGCCACGCCTGGTACCACGGACGTATCCCCTGGGAGGTATGCCTCACACACACACACACACACACACACAATTAAATTCAGTTGGATAACTGAAACTTTTATTACAGCAGTTAACATAGTTAGATTTTGGTGTCTAGGCTCCGACCTCATCATT